GCAGCGGCGCTGGGATCGTTGTGTTCACTCCCAGGGGAACTACTTCGAGGGTGATGGATGAATTTAATACCTGAGATAAGTGTACGGGTTTTTATACGCGCAGTCTGGAAACCTTTCGATCGCACCTCGTACGTCGTCATATGACAGAAGGATCATAGAATAATGAATGGTAAAGAATGTGAAAGGAAGTGGTTGTGACTTTAAGTATTATCGCGGCATATTCTCCAGAAAATGAAGAAAATCGTGAAAACCCTTCGGTAAAGATAATTGGTATCTGAGGCGAGGAATAAGAAGAAATTTGTAAAAACGAGTTCATTCGTCAGCAGCCCTAGGTGCTGCATACATTGAAGCTATAAATTTCGTACGAGAAAATTCAATTTGTGGGATGGTTGCTGCTGTCTAAACATTATAAGCGTGTCACAAATGTGTTAAGGGGTGAGGTCACGGAACCATAATTCTACCCCCGGCCACACCCTAGCGACCCCACCCCTAGCTATGGCCCTCCACAACAAGACCACACCTTCGAATTCATTTATTTGTTCCTGTACTGAAATGAGCCCACGCAACGAACCCCATGGGGTGGACCGTCACATCAGTGTTGCAAACATTACAACATGGCTGATACTGGTACTCCATGTGTAAGTACAAGGTAAAATACTCAGGGAAACGATTAAGGCTATCAGGTCTGTTAAGCTACTCTCACGGAGAGGCTAGAAACAAATGTGAGAATATGAACAACCATCTCTCGATTTACGAAAGTAATTCGTTTGATGAAAACTGCTACTAAGGTGAGAATTCGTAAATCAAAAATGAAATTCCCATTAATTTCAATGATTCCTGTTTTAAAAAAAATTCACTTGTTTTGGAATAATAAACATTCATGAAAATAAGAAAAATATTGCCTGATTATGATAGTTATTACATATTTAATCCTGTAAAACACTACTGAGTTATTAAATCAAATATTTACATTGTACATCAGTTACTATATTTACGATACAAATATAACAATTTATATAAATTAGGAACAAACAATTGTCTTCATTAAGACCTTAATTACTGTTCGTATGCCAATCATAAGAAATTAATGATGACAACATAACAGTGTTCTTCGTTGTAGCTAAAATATTGTTTTTTTAAATTGAAATACAAACATAAATTCACATTGTTTGTCACAGAAAAAACTTTTGAATCGTAAGTTCTTAAACCGAGGGAGCATACAGATTTTCTCAGAGATTATTTCATATGTCGAATTGTTGTTAATATAAATTAATTGGCGATACAAATTTTTATTGTGTCTTAAAAATAACAGGTACTTGTGGGTCGTTACCGACGTTTCGGTATCCGATGTAAGATGAAATATGGGGCGGACAGACGACCAGGACATGACCTCGTGTGATTTCAGATTCTCACGGCTGTTTTCTTGGCAATTGCCCCATTTAGTCTCGTAAAGTTTGCCTCAAATCATGCGTAAAGGTCGCATGAGAGCAGAGAGAACGTTGGTCTATTAGGCAGATAGACGTATATAAATATTTGTTTAATGAAATAAAGACAATGCAATACACTAAATCATTCTGACGATGTTATTATTCGGAATTACAATGCGAGCGTGTCTGTACTTTCATTAAACATGTCTAGGCCTATAGTCATAGTCACGGTGGTCTAGCGGTTAGAACGCTGGCCTTGTAATCATGGGGGTCTCGGGTTCGATTCCCGGCGGTGCCCGAATTTATAACTTGTGTTGGGCAAGGCCGTGGTCTAGGCAACACGGAGTTTTCCTCCGGGGGCTTCCCCGGTTTCTCCGTGGCATCCCAACAATTACTCCATTCACACACAGAAGAAGGCAATGGCAAACCACTTCTGGATCACCTGCCAAGAACGTATATGAACAGGTCCCAGTCCGAGAAAAGGATGGAAGGATCCTGTTCATATGGACCTGTCGTCAGACAGAACACTAAATAAATAAATAAAGGCCTATAGTCGATAGGTAAATATGTTTTTAGCGAAAGTACTTCAAAAACAAAATCAATAAATATTTGGGCTGGAAAACAAGTTCTTCGTTAAAAATCATGCGCGTCGAGTTTTTCTGAATTATTGGTCATTCGGACCAATAATTCAGAAAGTGGACGAGGGTAAGAGAGGGTCGATTCAGGCCAACTCTGCATTTGGTGCAGCCCTGCCTAACCCTCGAGTGTCTACAAAGCCATTTGGTTAATTTCGTCTTGGTATCGCCAAACTTCTTCTCAGGATGTGAATGTTCATGTCGTCATAAATTAACGTTGTAATTGATTAATTATTTACGTTTAAAGCCATCGTTCCAACTATAGAGGTTTTAGAGCTTTGATTGTGATGATAAGATGATAATGAATAGTGAATGCTTTATGTGGGAAATTGAAAATGGGTTGACGTAAACCATTTGAAGCTTTGTCCCGATATTCAGGTGGAAAAACCGAGGGAAACTGTGGAAAACTCAATCAGGGTTACCGACGTCCTGGTGACATGCAAACCGCGATGTTCTGAATAAAGGTGGAATGTTTATTAACCCCGTAAGTACAAAAGACGCTTATTATTATTTTTAATTTTTAAAGTGTTCTGTCTGACGACAGGTCCATATGAACAGGATCCTTCAATCCTTTTCTCGGACTGGGACCTGTTCATATACGTTCTTGGCAGATGATCCAGAAGTGGTTTGCCATTGCCTTCTTCTGTGTGTGAATGGAGTAATTGTTGGGATGCCACGGAGGAAAACTCCGTGTTGCCTAGACCACGGCCTTGCCCAACACAAGTTATAAATTCGGGCACCGCCGGGAATCGAACCCGAGACCCCAAGGATTACAAGGCCAGCGTTCTAACCGCTAGACCACCGTGAAAAGACGCTTATATCACTTAAATTTGACATATGTGTTTCTGGTTTCTTTCTGTCTTCAAGAAAATGCTAATAATTATTCACGGTTTATATAGAATTTGAGGTTTTCACGGCGAGGAGTCTGAAGATGGCGGTCTTCTGAGTTGTTGCGCTGTGTAGTCTGATAAAAGTTTACCGACGTTTCAGGGGCCCTTGTTGCCAGCGAGACTTAATTAATAATAAATTCCAAATGACCATGGCGTAATTTGAGGTAATATCCACATTTTGCCTGAAGGAACTCAGACAACCAGGATTGTCGATTTCCGCGCCCAGTTTTCAAACCGAGGCCTCTCAAGAGGAAAGAGGTTTACTAACCACTAGACCGCGACATTTGGTATCAAATCCTGAGATTGTTTCAAAGTTGCTACTTCTCGAATTATTACTGAATGATGTAGTTTGGTACGAGAACTTTTTAGTATTATCTGTCGTGTGTTTCTTGTTCGGGGGCGCTGTCGAGTTCCACACAGTATGGCTGACGCCAATGGACTTGTACTCAGTATATCATCGCGTTGCATGATGGGAAGAAGCAAGTTACGTATAGATATTTCTACTGTATAATTACAGAGCGAGCCAACACAGTATCCTGCGGGTACAAAACACTGCCATCTGCTGTCAAGGAGGGAAACATTGATCATCTCCTTTACGGTACTCCTACTGCCCGGATTTTTATCTCGAGGAGAAGCTGCATCGATACCAGCGCACGTTTATTCTGTGGCAGTTTTAGAAACTGCAGAACTTCGTCGTTAAGAGTTGGGGGTCGGTCTATCTACGGCAGTTTGTCTGACTGTATTTTATTTTATTTAACGATTCTATATCAGTTGTTAAAGATTAAGCAGATTAGAATGCTCAATAACAAAGTGACTGATGGTGAGGTTGGGAAGTTACGAAAAGGTGAAATGGTAACGCCGTGTAGACTCTCCAAAACCCCAATGAGAAATCTGAGAGGGCGAAAACTGAATGAGAGTGGACATACTTACAGGACAAGGGGCATAGTCCATCCACCTAGACATACGGTATATGGACACGCTGTCTTAGAATTTATTTTGTTTTCACAAAACAAAGCTGTATTCTGCTAAATGAACACTTCTCTCTCCCTTTTTAAATTTCAGAATTGTGGATGTACATTTAAAATGTACACTACAAGTTGTAATATTTCAGATTCTCACGGAATAAAGTTTAAATACGCCGATCATCTGCGTAATGCCTTGTCCTGATTATGGAAATAGGACGCATCTGCGAAACGTCGGAAAACTTCTACGAGACAACACGGCGGAATTTCCCAGGAGGCCGTCATCTTACACGCCTTTTTTCCAGAGGCACATTCTTTTACGAATTATTTTCTTCGTGAAGGTACGTACGACATTGTAAGTGGGAAAGGATGTGAATGAACGTCTGAGGTACGCGATTTTGAGGTTCTCACAGCAGTAAAGATGTCGACGACAATCTTCTGGATCTTGGCATCGCGTGGCCTCTCAGGTAACGTCCGAAAAGTTGGTTACTACCATCACATGGCGTCACGCACATGGTCGTCATTTTTACCGCAGTGAGAACCTCAAATCTTATACCATCTATAAATTCTTACCAACATGAACATAAAAAAAGAAACACAAACCTACGAATAAAAATAAAGCAGTATTCGGCTTTAGAAGAGTTTCAGAATGAGGAATGTGGGAAACTCCAGTGTGTTCGCTGAAAAAGCCAAATGCAATTAACACTGTGCGGTTCCCTGAAGGATCTTCTTTCTTCAGGGCAGTTCATTTTATTGTTTAGTGTAGTTGTAGTTGACTAATGGGGAAAAAACCTTGTAGTATTTGGCGGTGAGTAATGCAGTTACTGTCGGAAGCTGGAAAGTGACAGTTGCTTTAAAATATCAGTAAATGCAATGCGTATGAAGATAAATTTATGATTTGAGATTTTCAAGACGGCGACAACGTTCATGATTTGAGTTCTGGCGACATGTGGAGGACAAATACACAATTTAGTTAGCATGGGGGGAATAATAAAGAGGTACGTAGACCTATTTCTCTGGAAAAGCTTTGTCGTAATGGACTCGTGACATTGACTTTGGTTAAGGAGGTTAATGAGGGGAATTTCTCGTGTTGATAATTAGCCGCCAGACTTTGTAATGCCTGTAAATACGAAGTATAGGAATTTGTTTTGTTCACAGATTCTGAGAAACTGCATTGACAAGTAACCTTTACAAACTCATTTTTAATTTCTTCTGAAAAGAAACTTTCAGGGTAGGTTCTCTCCAGTGGATTAGGTTTTGAAACACATTTATTCCATGTTCATGATATACACATTTATATTATTCAGGACCCGAGAAATGTTTTATTAACTAGACCCTTACTGGAACCACCTATGACGTAACAGCAACAACTTACTAATACGAAACAGTATGATAGCAAAGATTTGAATGACATCATTACCATTTATAGTTAAGCCATGTATTATTCAGCTGTTTGTAACATGTCTTTTGTTGTGGGTACTTGAACAGCCCTCTGAAGACTGGGACTCCTCCTCATGGACGCCATAGCCCTCGGCAATGCTGGTGTCTGCTTCATACATAAAACATGGCATACTATGTTCTGATGCCGCCATATCTCTTTCTGCCCGCCCCGGAACGGCTGCTGCATCGAAGAGGCCGTGGAAACTTCCCGATCGGGTCAAAGGAGCGTTTGTCTGAAACAGTCCAAGCTGCTGAGATACTTGTGTCTAACGTTTTATTTGATATTACTTCATTGCCCTAAAGTAGTCAAATAGACACCTGAGTGGAATTAACATTTGTCTGCTTGGAAAATTACGATTTATATATAAATAAAATCAAGAACTCGATCTCAGTCCATAAAGTGTCATTTTCCAGGAAGAAATGACGATGTTTCAACGTAGTTCTAAAGCACACTGATGCACTTGGAATTTTAAATAAAATCTTCAAATTAACACGAAATTGTTGAAATAAATTCTTTAAATTGTGATTATCTAGTCTTTAAACAAACGTGGCCTATTACAAAGAAAATAATTACTTGATTGTTATGGAATTACAGCAATTAACTAACTAGTTGTCTAGTTACATAACAGATTATTTAACCACATAACCATCTAACCAGAATCAAATGGTCCAGCAGTGCCCATGGTCCTGAGTAAAATCCACCCGTCTTCCACCCTCGAAACCTATGACCCTGAGACCTATTTCAATGTCACCTTCTTACGTCTGCTGTCACACAAATGACCATTTTTCATGATTTTTCCACAAATATTCTGTGTAGTCTGTTTCTATCCCATCACAGCATCTTAGATTTTAGGGTTATGACAATGTTAATTGACATATGTAAGCACAAAGCTCTTTATGCAAAATTTACTTAAACATCCTTGCATACGAATATCTTCAGCGAATAAATTTCATATCTTGTCGGTCACATGGAACCCTTATTGTACATGAAGCGTAAATCTAAATTTATCGATTTACTAAAAACAGTTCATGTTGTGATTTATAAAATTAATTAAGGATAATATTTTAATTTGAAATATTTCATCGAGATGGCGAGTATTTAGAATAATTTAGAACGAAAATCTTTACTAAAATGCTAAATATAAATACAGTTTCGTCGCTAATTTCGTTCATGCTTTGAAAAGGTTTTAATTCAAGCATGTGACAGATAAGTAGCTATATTTTTCTGCTTAAATGTTCATCTGAGTGTGAAAATACATAACAAATAATTGAAGATTAACACCAATGATGTATACATAGATAGAAATGCAATAACATTTTGCTGTGCCATATAAATAACTTCGCAAAACTTAATTTTACATCTCAGTCACTGGCAAAATCTGAATCCAGTTCCATCGTCAATTTAATGCACAGAATCTCGGGGTGGTTTTGAGTACAATATTTGTTGGTCAATATAAATGATTTCCCACATTGAATAGTTCAGTAGGAATGAGAACTTGCAAGAGTGAAAATATATTCATGCCAGTACTAAATAAATACAGGTATAATACACTTTTTAATATTGTTAAAATCGCATTTGGAGAATATGTATGGATATGCTTCAAATATTTTTATTCCTGTTTAAGGTAATACGTCAGTTCCTTTAGGAAGACAGAATTAACTAAAGAAAGGTAGGCCGAATATATTTGAGCAGAACGCAATGAATTATAAGTTTCGTTTCAGAAATTACATGAATTTTCATTTGAGAGTAGATCAAGAGTTGACCTGATTTATAATGTAAGCCGACTGAAAATCATAAGGTAGTTTGAGCGAGAGGTCGCTTTTCGACGGAAGGTCAAGGACAGGTTTAGGTTCCACGCAGTAGCTGGACAGGGACATTATTCATTTGATAAGAACGTGGCAGTCACGCCGACTGACCACCAAATCTCACAAAGATTCTTACATGAAATGAATAATATTCTCAGCACGCTATCACATGTACAATGCATTTAGTACTTACCAACTTACAAACACGACAATTTGAATCAATATTTTAAACTCCGATTATTTCGCCAAAAATCCTGAACAGCCGTCAACTTTATAAGCTTGTGGATGGGCATAAAGAGATATATTTATTCAACTTATATTTTTTAGATTTATTCCTAATACATTTATACTCGTCATTAAAAAAAATAGTAGCTCGCACGGAGGGAATCACAAATGCACAAAAGAATTCAGTTAACAAACCCAAAAGAATGAGAACGTTTGGAAGATCTAATTGTAGATAAGAGTTTCATATTTAAATTGATCTTGAAGCAGCACAGACTATGAACGTTGATTGAGATTACGTAGCTCAGGAAAGGGCCCGGTAGAATTATATTCCAGGCCAGTCTCTCGTATTTTAATCGAAATAAATTTTACACCTAATGAAGTAGGCAAATCTTGTGAAATATTATGAAATTCTGTAGCTCCTGCCTAGTGTTCTAAAGTCACGTTGAATGAGGGGCCGGCACTGGTACATCTGCAATTAGGAATTTGTAATCTGTTTAGTTCAATGGCATCCTAGTTATTTATTCTGGTTTCAAGCAAAACCAGTATTACTACAAATAAAGATGTTTCGTAAACGCAATAATAAACGATATTTCTCGGTTTCTGATTTTAGTAATCTGTTAATGTTTTGCTAGAAATTTTGCAATGTAAATTTTAAAATTTGAAGGGTCAAGCTAGAGACCTGGTGAAAATTCCGATTAAATAGCCAATTTAAAATGTTTAATATGAAAAACGTAATAATTAAACAAATAAGTATCTAAATAATACCCTCGAGGTTCGATAGCCTTGGCGGTTTGCTATGGGGCTCGACAGTTATCTGCAATATATTTCTTCATTCAGTGTCATGTGATACACTAAACTGAAAGCACAAATGTTATCGCTGTCTCCACACAGCAAAGTCCTTATTCAATAATTAATATTCGTTTGTCAACAAATTCGAAAACTTTTAAAACATAAAATGTCTCTGCTCTCTTTATCCTTGCAAACACAATTCCAATCCACACACACACAATCATATCTCATCCATTTAAAATCTGTTTTAATATCATTCTGCCATTCACGGCTAGGTCCCCATGTGGTCTTCTATTTATGATTTTCGACTAAAATTTTATGTGCAATTATGATTTATGTCGTAGTAAATCATGCCCCGATACGTCGTTAACCTAATAGTGTCCTACCTGGTGAAGAACAGAAGTTACAAAGCTTCTCACAAATAAATTTTCTCCATCCTCCGGATACTTAAGTCCAAATAGCCAATTTCTTCAGTAAACAGTTCATAATAAGTTTACCTTCGATCTATATTCTCCTATTAAAGTTCCTATTAAGTTCTGTATACAATACGTATTTTAATCCTTATTTGTATGTAGACATAAACTTCGTCTCATACTGCCAAATTGTAATTCTGCGGTGTACTAAAAGCACGTCTGACACTTGGAAGACACCATATAAACGACGACTTGAGTGCACTCGACATACAAATTAAGTTCCTTGCCCTGTCCGCTTGTCGTTATAAGCACAGGAAAATATATAGCTGTTAATTAGTCTTAAAATAATCTTGTCAGTAAGTCATTAAGCAGTTTGGCGTCGACCTCACGTTAAATTTTAAATAACGTAAGACGACACACGGAAAATACGCTAAGTGGATAGATAAAGGATGCAATTAGGAACGTTTCACTACGATGGCATCAGCGTTGGGATTCTGAACTAACTGCAAACAGAAGAAGGTCAACCAACAGTCTTCGCTCACTAACCCCTAGGCACAAATGTGATGGTACTCTAAGAACATTCTGTTGAGCATGTGAAACAGAAACATTGCTATACGAGGTGCGATCGAAAGGTTTCCAGACTGCGCCTATAAAAACCCGTACACTTATCTCAGGTATTAAATTCATCCATCACCCTCGAAGTAGTTCCCCTGGGAGTGAACACAACGATCCCAGCGCCGCTACCAAGCCTGGAAGCATCCCTGGAAATCTTTCTTTGTCAGCCTGTCAAGCACCATCTGCGATTCTGCCTGAATCTCTTCTATCGTCTCAAATCTCCTTCCCTTTAGCTGAATTTTCATCTTTGGGAAGAGGAAGAAGTCACACGGAGCTTAAAAAGGAAGTTGGGGTCGGTTCTTGCAAGATCTTTAAACTCCTGACAAACGAGAAGTCGATTCTGCTTCTAGTCCTCTGACAGGATGCCATCATCGACAGAGGTTCGGTCATTTTTAAAACGTGAATGCCACACAAACGTTTGTGCACGACCCATTGCGGACTCCCCAAATGCTTGCTTTGGCATTTCATAGGTTTCCGTAGCCGTTTTGGCGAGTCTTTGGCAAAATTTGATGCACACGCGCCATTCCGAAATCGCAGGAGGGTCGGTGTAATGCACTACCAAAACGCCTGTAACTAAGAAACAAATGCTAATTCGATGATGCCGGCTGGCACACTGATTCACTATGAATGTAGGCCGCACCCCCTAGCGGCAGAAGCTCGTACTACATCCGGTTCGCCCTCTATTGACACAGTCTTGAAACTTTCTGATCGCACCTCGTATGTGGGCCTATATGATACTCCACATTACGGCTTTAGTTGAAAAAAAGCATAAGTTTAGCCTGTAAGACTGTATTAATTTTGGGGTGTTAAATTTTACTCTATTTTTCTTACACTTTACGCTGTAGTGCATAAAACAAATGAATAATTGTGAGGTCGTGTCCTTATGAACCTTTGTCTGCGGAGCAAATTTAATGAAAATTGGAAACGCGGTTACGCATTTGTAATTTTTTTCAGTAAAGGTAAAATATAAACAACAGGATGTACATTACAAGACCTTTAATTTATAACATTTCTCAAAAATGGCTCAACTTACGAAACACTATTTAAAAAAATTACAGATCTCATTATCAATTAATTTATATGGCATTTAACTAAGTACAAAATAATGATATAATTTTATGAATCATTTTGTTATTATACCCGTATGTAGATATCATATTGCTTACTACGGTAAAGCTGATAACATTTAGGAAATTCTCATCACACCTTGAATAGTAGGAAGATTTTTGTGTGATTGGCTATAATGTGAAACTTATACAAAACCTTACTTTCAAATTCTACAGCTGTGAAGAAGCTACTTACTTCCCATCTAATTATCTGCTCGAAACGGCGTATTCAAAATATGCGTCAACAGAACCGAAATAAAGAACAAGATATGAGGTCACAGCTTCGCAAGAATATACCTGACTTTAACTCCCTTGCCCGTCCCAGTGCTCTGCAATACAAATGCTTATACTTTTCTAAATTAAAAATAATTAAGACTACTTGAAACAAGTTTATAATCCTGAGGTTCCCCGGAAATATTTTACCATCAAAATTATTTACAGTAGATGAAGTTTTGAAAAAAATTGAATTAACTAATTAATATTTGTCTTCGCACATGTTTTATAATCCCTCCGTTTCAAAGCCTTCAGCGTTCTTAGTGAATTATCTCAGAATTGTTTGTTGACATTATCATGGTGTCTACTTTCATTTTTAACTGAAGAATTACTTCTTTTTAGTTATGCTTTTATTGTTGTTTTGTGGACGAACAGAGCCAGTCGCTTGGTTAGCACGCAATGCTCGACCTAAACCCCCCTACCCCAACACCCTCCAGCGCTTCGATAATTATTATCATTAACATCTTTACCCGCCATGGCCAACTCAAAGTATATGGTAGCATTGGATGTTGTTGCTGCCGACTTCCCTACAGTCTTTTGTTACTCCAGTGGACTACATTGTGCAACAGAACAACAGTGATCTTTGAGACGATTAAAAAGTATCTGTTAAGTACAACTCAATAATTAAATGTTAAGACATTACAAAAATCTTTACCAATATTTTCCTGGTATTTCAACGTTTGTATAAAACTCTTCGAATATCTAAATAAAGAAGCATCAGCAGTTTGAGAAGAATTAATATCTGTAGCATTGACGAGAAATATTATGATAACCTGTGTGTGAATAAGTCATATACTGATATTTTTAATTTATTCACGAATAAATAAACAACCGAATGCAAAATTATAGATCTCAATAATCATTTGGGAGATCTGTTATAAAAATCTAATTATTAAAGCTATAATAATAATAATATAATTATACGATAATAAATCTCGAAATTTCAATACTGCTAATACCAGAGCACGCCACTGGACACGATCTTGAGCCAGTTAAATCCATCTCCCATTCCTATTTACTTAGATGCTGGTGGCAGCATGGATCTTTGAAACGTTAGTAAACTTTTACCAGACTACAAGGGGCTACAACCCAAAACACTCACCGACGGGGAAACCTCAGATTCTATTAAAAGTAATTTTAATGTTATTTATTCCGCCATAAATATTTTGTGAAATTCTTGTCTCCTAGTTAAGAGCTACATTACAAACCAATCTAATCATACATGTTGTTGTTCTCCCGTGAAACATCCCTACTGATGGGGAATATTGCACATCTCAGAGATGGTGAAATACGCAATGGGACTGTTTTATTAGGAGCATAACGTGATCCAGAGCCAATTTCTTCACCATAAATCTCGTAAATTGCCATGGGTTCGAATTAAACCAAATCTTCTAAGGACAGCGTCTAACAGCCAAAAAATGAACGTGAGATGTTTCAATCCATAACTTATGAGCGTGTTTGTTTCTTATATCGTTGTAGCTCGTAACGCCTTGGATCGTGATATTCTTCTATTTTTATTTATTCAGACGTGTGTTTTTATGACGTTTTAAAACTTTTATTCCGATGGCTTAGATTTGCTTTTATCTGTCTGTCTGCTCGTTGACTCATCCAGCAACTCTTCAAACGCTGTTGGCAGATTAGAATTTTATTTTGTTTCATTGTTTTTAAGACATTTATTTATATATGAAAGCACTGATAAATGTCCATTTGGAATTATCCTTAATATTACTGTCTTCTGGGATGTTGCGTTGTGAAGTCTGGTAAAATTTTACCATGATCGCCCTGATGATTGAGGCAGAAAGACCTCTGGCTACATACGACAAGGTCCTAATATATAACTACTTCATTGTTCCAATTATTTATTATCGACACAATCATGAAGAAAGTCTTTATTAACGAATAATTTAATCGTTGTGTCTTAAATTGATTCACTACAGAGTAGAAAATGACATTCAAAATATGACACAGTAACACGTATGATCTCTCAAACACCCCGTTACCACACAACAAATTTGCAAAGAGATGAATAATTTAGCCATAATTTCCTTGAAAAAATATCCCAAAAAACAGAGAAATATCTGCAAAAAAAAACATTTGATATGGCTTTTAGAATCAGAAGTATTATACATAAAAATGAGCATTGTTTAACGATAAAAATAATGTAACATTTACAAACAATTTCCACGCCATTCCCTTACTCAATTTTATGATCAGTTACTAGAAAAACAACTCGACAAATATAAAGTACATATAAATTATTGCCCAATACCCTACTTTGTCTCCCCACTACTGAAATGTTCAAAATTTTCCCCCCCCCCCCCCTTCCACAATGTATAAAAATGATAATGACGGTGCGTTGCTACAACGGCCGACCGAAAATTGCGCGAGCCGCGATTTGGAAAATTACTTGTAATAGGGAGAAACGTCGCTAGGTTATAGGGGGTCGGGAGATTAAGGGAAAATTATATTCATTACACGCCATGAATAGTCCACTACTATCCGAGCAGAATACGTAAGCCTCTGACACACATGGACTCAAATTATTATTGCGAAACGAAATACGTCTTATTTTAAAATTTCTGTGACCTAACTAGCCTTCAACATAGGTTCCTCAATCACATATATTCATCGTTTTCAGATAACAAAATATTTTATTACTACCACATGTTGTAAAAATTGTTTATGATATTTATGAAATAATATTAATTTTAATTTCTTTTTTTTTGCATAATTATCTAAACCGTATTTCAGATCAAACAGTTACTATGAAATCATTGTGTTCTCTATCTCTAAAATATGTATCTCTAAATCACCTATTTAGCATGTCTCTCGTTTAGTAAAATAAATCGTAATGATAAATATAAGAAAAACTATTCATACAACCACAACTTTATACATTATGTGAATATTTCTAAAATTTTTACTAAAAACGCATTTTTATGATAAAAATTAGGCTACTATGAATATATTATTGTTATAAAATTTGTTTTATTAATTTGTTATTGTATTATCCTACTCTATATTATTTCATTATTCGCGAATTAATATTAATGTTTAATTGTTTCTTGTAATTATCTGCTCTGTATATTTCTTATCAAATAGCTGTTATGGAATCGTTCTAAAAAAAACTATACCTCTATTTCTTCCATTTTACTTTTCTCACATTCTGTCAACGTCCAGCATAGTAATTAATATTCGCCTAAATAACGATACTTGAATAATTTTAAGCATTGTAAGCAGTTGTTTCAATTTGTTCTGCCCATCGAATATATTTTTACTAAAACGTATTCTTACGATAACAAAGAAGCTTATTATTTTTATTTAGTGTTATGTCTGACGCCAGATCCATATGAACAGGATCCTTCCATCCTTTTCTCGGACTGGGACCTGAAGTGGTTTGCCATTGCCTTCTTCTGTGTGTGAATGGAGTAATTGTTGGGATGCCACGGAGAAACCGGGGAAGCCCCCGGAGGAAAACTCCGTGTTTCCTAGACCACGGCCTTGCCCAACACAAGTTATAAATTCGGGCACCGCCGGGAATCGAACCCGAGACCCCAGGATTACAAGGCCAGCGTTCTAACCGCTAGACCACCGTGGCTATAACAAAGAAGCTACTGCGAAATAATTATTGTAATAC